CCTTAATTCTGGACAGAGGTGCTAAGTGGGAGAAGTGGCTGCCACTAGCTGAGTTCGCCTATAACAACAGTTATCAGGCATCTATTCAGATGGCTCCCTACGAAGCACTTTACGGCCGCAAGTGTCGATCGCCCCTTTACTGGGATGACGTCGGAGAGCGACGAGTACTCGGTCCGAAGTTCATCGAGGAGACAGTTGAGCAAGTAGCCTGGATCAGAGAGAGGCTCAAGACAGCTCAGAGTCGGCAAAAGTCCTCAGCCGATCAGCATAGACGAGAGATGCATTTTGAGCCCGGAGATCATGTTTTCCTGAAGGTTCGACCGATGAGAGGGGTCGTTCGCTTCGGGAAGAGAGGGAAGTTGCATCCTCGCTATATAGGCCCGTTCGAGATTCTCGAACGAGTGGGCGAAGTCGCCTATCGATTAGCTCTGCCTCCCGAGTTGGCTGGCGTGCACAACGTGTTTCACGTTTCGATGCTACGCCCATACGTGTGCGATCCCGAGCATGTGCTTCAGCACAGCGAGATTCAGCTTCAGCCAGATTTGACTTACGAGGAGCAGCCGGTAGCGGTTCTGGATCGAAAGGTCCTTCGGCTCAGGAACCGAGACGTTCCCCTCGTTCGTATCAGATGGAATCGCCATGGAGATTCAGATGCCACTTGGGAGCGCGAGGCAGACATCAGAGCTCGTTTTCCAGATTTTGAGTTCTGATATGTACCCAGTTGTATATATTTTCAGTTCTTGTATTTCTCCAGTTTAGTATTTCCGAGGACGGAAATATTTTTAAGGGAGATAGATTGTAATAGCCCAGTTCTGTATTAATAAAAATGACAGTTTTTAGTTCCCAGTTGAACTATTTCTTTTTATTAATACTGCTCGTCTTGAGTTCCGAGCCCAGTTATCAGCTATTCAATCTCAGTTATTAATTCCGGTCCATTTATTTTATTAATGGATTTTATTCAGTCGGAATTAGTTATTCCAGTTGACGAATAATCGAAACCGAGTTTGTTTCGATAAATCGTCCAAGTTTAGCCGTGTCCGGAACCGAGTTGTTCGGTCGCGAGTATCGCGCCTAGTTCGCGCCTAGCCAATTCTCGAGCCCTAGTTGTCTCGAGTCTTGTTCGAGCCCTAGCCATGCTCATAGCCTTACTTAGAATATTTTCTAAGTATGAGATCCTTTTTATCGAGCCACGAGTTCATCTCTAGCCAAGGGTTATCCTCGACTAAACATTTTCCAAGCTCGGGCCATGAGTCGTGCCCTAGTGCCGCACCCTAGCCTCGCGCGAGTCAAGCATGGTGCCCAAGTCATGGCCAAACACTTATGGTATTTTTCTAAGTGTTGTGAGCCTCAATTCAGCCCATAAAATCAGCCCAAGGTCATTTTTCCCGAGCAGGCCAGTTTTCCCGCGCAGCCAGGCCGCGCCCTCGCGCCAGGCCCAGTGCCGCGCCATGCCCAGCAGCCCGCGCCCAGGGCCAGCGCCCAGGCCCAGCGCTGGCAGCGCGACAGCCCAACTTCAAGAGGCCATTTCACATGTTTTTGGCCCAAATCTTTCAGGGACCAAAACCTCCGAATTTTATACACTTGATAAGGATCATTTTGAGCTAAAATGGCCCTAAGGAAGTTAAGCCCAATCCACTTTCAAGTGAGTCCAAATGTGGACATGTGCATGTAATATTTTAATGCATTTGTATTTGGATTTGTCCCCCACTTACCTCAAGGCCGACCAGACCTGCCCTCCCAGCATATTTTAATGCTTGGGTCAGTCAAGATGCCCTGCCACTCCTCCAAGTTCGTGCAAGTCAGCCCAAGGCCCATCACCCTTGTCTCATGTGTGCATGTGATCCCTTTGTCCCCCACCTTTGTGCCTCAATAGCTCCGCCCCTATCCTCATAAAAGGGACACTCCTCAGCATGGATATGACTCTTGGAGACATCAAACACTTAGCAATATTGAGGGAGAAGAGAGAAAACCGAGAGCAAAGTCATTGTCCCTAGCCGTGCGCGTGTTCCCCGGGGAAGAGGAGTGCTCGTGTATAGCTTGTTCCAGCCTAGTTATCTCGAGGCTTATCATTATCCAAGCTTATTTTGGATTTTTCTAAGTCACTTGAAGCTATCCTCCTCAGCCATTCAAGCCCCAAAGTCGAGGTTAAGTTCCTAGTGCCGCAAGATCCCCGAGCAAGGCCCATTTGCACCATTTCGACTTTTGAGCAAGGTTAGCTCATGCCAACCATTTTTCCTAGCTTATTCATGATAAAATAAGAATTATCATGTGTAGAAATGATGCCATGCATGTGAGATATAAGAGATATGAATTTTTGATCATCTAAGCCTTAAATTCGTAAGTTTTTGTACAAGCATGATATGGCCGAGATTAGTATCTTAAAAATCCTCAAATATTATGAGTATAACATGGTTGAAACAGTTTTATGTTTTGAGTTCATTTGTTCGGTCAAGTTGCTATGTGAAATCGAGCCATTTTCACCCCCGAACCTAAGTATATGTGCAAGTATGTTTTAGCCAATGTTCTAGCCTCATTAGCCATGATTTTTGATGTAGTTTATTCGGCCCTAAGTCATTTTACATGTTGAGCATGTTCATTTTTATGCCCTAGGGTGGCCTCGGGCCTAATCGGCCCTATAAGCCCATCTCCAAATCCAACCGAGGTCCCTCAGGGACTTTTGGCATTTTTGAGTATATTATGTCATATTATGTTGGTATGGTTCATTAGTCCCTAGAAAAGTTGAAGGAAGTTTGGAAAAGACCGGCTAGGGTCACTAGCCGCGCCAGTCGCGCGTGCTGTGCCCGTGCCGCGTCCCAGGGGCCAGGCCGTGTCCCTGTCCGTGCCCGCGCCTAGTGCTCGCGAGGCACTGCAGTCCCAGTGCACGAGACAGCACCCAGCAGTGCCTGTCCGTGCCAACCAGCGAGGTCCCAGCGCCAGTCGCGCCAGGGCACCTCGGGCAGCGCATGGCAGCGTTGTCCCAGGGTCAGTGCACGCGTGACCTCGAGCCAGTTGCTCGTGCCACGCAGAGTCGACCTCGGGTCGTGCCAGCAGCGCACCCGAGTGTCCAGGGCCGTGCCTTAGTGACCCTGAGTAAGGTCCAGAGGCCTCGGGATGTGCCCAGCAGCGCGCCCGAGCAGTCAGTGGCCCGGGACGTGCCCAGCAGCACGCCCGCGTGCCCAGGGTTGCCCGGCAGCACCCTGACAGCCCTAGCTCTCGCGCCAGTCGCACTAGGGTCGTGCCAGCCGCACGCCCAGTGCCCAGTCAGCCCGGGTACGCGTCAGTTCCCGCGTCCCTAGTGCTCGGTCGTGCCCAGCAGCGCGCCAGCACACCCAGTGACTCTCGGTCGTGCCCAGTCGCACCTAGTGGCACCAGTAGTGCCAGGGCCCGTGCCAGCCGCACAGCCCGCGCCAGCAGCGCCTAGTACCGAGGCCCGGTCGCACCCAGCTAGTGCCCAGCACCGTGCCATGGCCCCAGCAGGCCCGGCACGGGACCGAGCCCGGCCAGTCCGAGCAGCCCGTGACCAACCGGTCCAGTGTGACCCAGTGGTCCAACCCGGTCCGGTCCAACCCGACCCGGTTTAGCCAGTTAGCGAACCGGCCAGTTTAGCCGGCGGTTCGAGTCCGTTTTGGTTCGTGATTTTCGGTCCGAGTCTTATTCCGAAATTTAAGTATTTTTCCGAGCCAAACCAGATCAGTTAAGCATATCAGTATTATTTCCGGACTTAGAATTATTTTAGAGAACCCATAGAGCGTTCGTTTATATCCGGTTGAGTAATCTGATAGAGTAGAGCATCCTAGCATATTTTTGAGCATATGACGAGCATAGTACTTAGTATATTTGTTTGCTTATATTTTTATGTAGCTTGAGGAGTCAGCTACCAGCACAGCCGCACTTACTCATTTTCAAAACCGATCAGGTGGGGACCCAGTCTGGGTTATACATTGAGTTTAATAGTCGATATCACGTTCAGGTATGTATATGAGTTTTATCCACTTTGGGTTAAGGCCAAGTTTGCCTTCCCTAAGTTCTGGTGGTGGCCCAGTTTGCCCTAGTTATACCATCAGAGTGTGCACACGGTTACCGGCCAGAGTGTTCCGGGAGTTACCGGCCAGAGAGTTCCGGGAGTTACAGTTTACTTATATATACCAGTTTGTGATATCATTATTAATATTGCTGTTTACTTTAGAATGGGTTTTTATGGAGTACAAGTGGACCGTACTCACCCCCACTTTATATTTTCAGATGGCAGGGTCGGCGGGCAGGCGTGAGTCAAGCTGTGGTGGTGGTGGTCGTGAGTTCCGCACGAAAGCTGTTCCCGGGACATTTGTTTAAACTGTTTGTAAACTAAATAATTCCACGCATTTCAGACTTCCGCTATGCTTGTGTTTATTTTCGAACATGCATGATGCTATTTTCAGACTTAAATAATTTTACCCGGTTCGCCAGTACGAACGGGTCCAGACTAATATGCATGATTCGTAAAAATATAAACCTGAATTCTTTAAGTCTAAACCAGTTGTTAGACCTAGGTTAAAGAAACGGGCTTTTAAGCAGAAAAGTCCTTAGCAGCATCCCGAGATAGTTTGCAAATGATTTCGAAAAATTTATAAGCGTTTTCGAAAGAGTTAAAATTTGCGAAAAATTGGCCCTAGTTAGCGGGGTGTTGCACCCACGTCATCATGAACTCCCACCTTTTCTTTCTCGGGCATGGGAGATGGTGAATTGATCGTGTCTGCAAAAGAAAACAAAAAAATTATGTAATTCAACAATATGTTGCATTTGTTCTAAAATATATCTTTATGTAAAAAAAATATTACAAGAACTTGTTCTATTTATTTTTTTAATACTCGATAATAACATTAATATGATGTATCTATTTTAAAAGAATACCTTCAACACCATCTACTGTTCGAGCGGTCTCCGTATCAACATTTGTCCCGTCATAAGTAGCACGGGTAGATGGACTATCTTTTGATTGAAAAACTAAATCTTTTATTCGCTCAAAAAAACTTGTCCATCTTCACATCCATTCGCTCAGAAAACTTGTCCATCTTCATTTCCATTTGCTCAGAAAATAATCTCATCTCATCCTTCACAACCTCCTTGACTATAGCTGAAATCTCTTCAGCACCAAAAACTTGCTGTTGTGGTGGATCAGACTGAGATGCATCATTTTTTTCTTCTTCCTCTTCCTCCTCTTCCTCATCATCCTCATCCTCATTTTCTTCTTCTTCTTCTTCTCCTTCTTCTTCTTCTTCTTCTTCCTCATCTTCAGGGACAATACGGAATCCCTTCAAGTATGAACTTTGAACTTCATCCCTTGAAGGTTGTAATGTTCGTCGAACTTTAACCTGATTATAGTATAATTAGTTTTTTCAAAACTATAAGAATAAATAAGATGAATTATCCATAAAAAAAATTACCTCCGACGTGTTGAAAAACGTACTAAGTTGCTCGCTTCGCCACTGTTTTGTCATTTTCCAAGACAAATTTCTCGGATGACTGTCACCGACACCACAAGTTTCAGCAAATTTTCTTCCAAGCTCAGGCAGTGCCTCAAATGCCCAAACCTAATTAGCAAACAACCAAAAAAAAAAAATTAAGAATACAATTAACATAAATAAATAAAAAAGTGTATAAATATATATTTATATGAAAAATACCATGATAGCTAGGGGAAATCCATGCAAAGAATACTTCATCTCTGAATTTTTTATACTATCAAACCTCTTCCGCTTGAACAACTTTACGGTGTACTCGTATGACAAGTTCCCCCAAGGATAGCGATTGAACTCCTCTAAATTTTCAACGAGATGAAACCATTTTTCATCCACAAGAGTCCGGCACTCGTTAGACAAAACCACATGCTCCAGGACCGTGAGAAGCCCCAATTTGTATATCAAATCTGCATCTCCCTTCTTCTTTACCAAATCATCAAATTTCTTGAGCAACTCTTTCTTTGTTAGCTTCCCTCGCTTCCCTTTGAATAAATGCAAAAGTGAACTACTTCTTTCCGGGACCTTGTACGAATCCACATCATGCACAATCTTTAATCCGCTTACAAAGAAAATTCTTGTAACCCGAATCTAGCTTTTATTTCTCCAAATTTGAACCACACAGTGTCTTTTTCGTTCTCGGATGATTTCAAAGTCCTTTGAAGAAGGTGGTGGATTATTTGAGACGCCAATTTCAAATTGGGAATGTGCTCTAGTGGCCGGAAGCATGATTGCACAAATAGAGCTTTATGTGCATCATCTAGCTTCTCCAATACATGATTGGCAACCTTGAGGTCGCACCTATTGGTCACGACTCCTGAGCATGACGAAGGTATATCGTACGCTAACTCCATTTCCGTTCCTAAAAGAAGAGAACAAAGACAACTCATTTAAAGAAAATAAACTCATTCTTCTTCCAAAAAATTCTTCTTCAACATCATTCTTCTTCTTCAATTAACACATAACAAATGAACTCATTTTTCTTCTTCAATTTTTAATGCATTATATCAATTTCTAAAACGAAACAAGTATCGTTATCTCATAAAATGAGTTTCATTATAAATATTACGATACTATAACTGAGGAGCTCAATGCATTCGCAGTATAATGCTACTTTACTTACAAAATACGACCTAACGTGTATTTGACCTATGAGTTTTTGATGAGTGCAATAGCCAACAACATGAGAGTTGCAAACAAAATAACAAGGTCATATTCACCCGGACATTTAAGTACCAAACAAAGCACAAAGAGATACTCTACAAAGAAATCAATGACGAAGGAACTATTTGAATACTCTACTCAGCCACATAATGAGTAACAACATGAGAGTTGCAAACAAAATAACATGTAACAAATGGGGCCAAACAAAAATCATAACCAACACTTTTCTTTTCTACTTTTTTCTGAAGCATCAAACCAAGCATACAAGGCTTTAAGGATTGGTTTTAAAACTCTGAAAATAACCACGAATTCAGCATGTAAAACACATCTCACAACCTCAACAATCACAACAGCACGGCCAACCAAGCAAAACCCAACAATTTTCTTTTTCTAAATCTTTTCCTTAAACCTTTTTTATCATCAATAAGGCTACATAACTGGTCCTTAAATCTCTAAAATTACCCAACTTTTGGAAACTAAAACACAACATAACATGTCTTCAAGATATCTTAACAATTCAAGGAATTCATCACAATGCAAATTCGTTATATATTATATTACTAACATATAATTCATCACAATGTAAATCCTAAGTCGATACCCTTTAATCTTTAAAAGGGTATTAAACACAGCAAATCTCGTTAAATATTACTATAAAATGAGAATATAGTCATTTCCAAAATTTCTATAACGAACGTACATTCGTTATATATTACATTACAAACATATAAGTCTCATTATTTTCAATTTATCAACTCAATCCTACAACCATTTCATCAAACACTTAGAGTGCACCAATTTACCATCTTACAAGTATTTCATCAAACACATAGAGGGCACCAATTCACCAACCAAATCCTACAACCAAATCCTACAAATATTTCAACCATTAACCTCACTTTCACCATGCATAACACATATTAAACATTCAAAAAAATGTAATTAATAACACAAATGGCTCAACAACATTATAACCTTAACACAAAAAAAAATACAAAAGCTGGAAAAAAAATGTACCCTAAACAAAAATTCGTACCAGAATTGACATGAAGAGATAGTTCCATAGTGACCGGTGCGAGAAGGAAGGTCGAGAGAGCAGGTTTGTTGCGAGAGAGAGAGAGAACAGAGAGAGCCGTCGAGAGAGAGAGACGAAACAGCGGGAAAAAAATGAGGGAGAAGGAAGAAGAAGAAAATAGAAAGAAAAGAAAAGAGGAAAAATAATTGTTGGCCTTAAGGGTATAATAGTAAGTTGATATTTAATATCATTACTTAATAAATTTTAAATGAGTGTTTGACTAGAGGGTCATTTAAACAAATAAGTTTGTAGAATGGGTTATTTGAGCTAATTCCCACCATGCTTATGCCCATTATGTCCATGCCCAAAGTCGTGGACATGATTATCATCCTGGGCCCACATCATCTTCAGATCTTCCTCTTCAGCAATTTCCTCAGGAAGAAGGGTTCGCTGCCGTTCATTTTCCTTGATCGATCCTAAATCCTCATCGTGCACATCATGATGATGGTGGTTATGATGATGGCCGTCGTGTCCATGGCTACACTGATGACCGATGGCCGCACTGAATAGAAACCCCACAATCACCAAAACGCCGAAGAAATGCGAACAGATCTGCGAGTGCTTATCTAAAAACTCCCCCATAATAAGGATACGGGAGAAAATAGAAATGTGAAATTTCAGCAAGATTTAAGAGGGGTTTGGGATTATTAAGATGGTGAGTTTCTTTTGCAGGTGCCCTCAACAGCAATGAAGCAGACGGCGCAGAGAAATAGGATAATTATGGCAACGATTATCCCGAATGTCACTACATCCATTTTCAGGCTTATATGTTTCTTATATTCATCACGCTAAAGTCTAATTTTTTCTTACCAAATTCAAAATTCATACATGGAAACCTTGGGCTGATATTAAAGGAAGTAGCTCGGCAAGTAGGCTGACCTGGTCCACTCAAAGTTAGCGCTGGAGCTCAGATGAGCTCCACCAAGTGCGAGAACCTAGCTGACTAGCCGAGTTAGTTGACCAACTGTGGGAGGCCAAGCTTGTAAGCTGGGCACGTGGCCGAGCTGATAAATGAAGTAAACCTTGGGCGAACACACCTGAATGCTAGGATGAGCTCGGCGGTACAAAGGAAGAGCTCAGCTTGGTAGAAGGAGGTGGATGATGTTACAACAAGGAGTCGTTGCGCGTATCGCGGAGATCTTCCCGGATCATAGGGAGACAGGGTCGAGCAGGACTCTACGATCGTTGGATAAGATTTGCATTGTCCAGAGGTAGGCGGAAGAAGGACTCTTGTCATCACAAGTCTTTAGGGCGTCCGCCTTCGGATATAAAAGGGGCAGGTTCCTTTCCTCTTAGATATAACACACAACATCTATGAACATACACTTTGTCTCATATATCTGCTACTTCTTCTAAACTGACTTGAGCGTCGGAGTGTTTGCGCCGGGACCACCCCCAGCGTATTTGCAGGTTACCGGCGATTCAAGGAAGGCAAACCGATTCGGAGAAGCGGTCTAGCGGTTCGAGACAATTTGACGTATCAAATTGGCGCCGTCTGTGGGGAGATTCAGTTTCCACAACTTGAGATAAGAGGCTGATTTTTCTCACCAACATTCACAATGACTGATGACATCGTGAAGAAGAACCTAATAAAAGACATGGACGAAGCATGGACGCGGAGGGCGTTCGGAGATGGACCCCCTCTGGGGTGGTCAAAGACGATTGTTAGTCCAAGAAAACCTTACCGACACCTGGTATCACCTCGACACCGGCAAAAGATACTCAAGGGCAGTCAGTGGCCCCAGGAGGGAAGGAAGGTCAGACAGGGATTGAGGGTGAGCTTGGCGGTTCCACTACAGGGGTAGTCAGTCATGTCGTCGGCGGATCTGGAAGTGGGGGTGGACCGACGGGTTCATTGGATAATAGGCAATAGATCGTAGCAAGAGTAAACAACCCTCCAGAAAACAACCTCCCGGCGGCAGGAGGGGACCAGATGTTGCATATGACCAGAGCGGAGTTGGATAGGATTATTGCCAATGCGATTGGACGAGCTCAGGTTATCGATAGAAGGGCTACCAATGAACCAATCAGGCAGTCTGTACAGCAATAGCAGTTATTACCACTGAACCAGTCTCAGCGTCGCGAGAGGGGTGACGAAGATGAGGATAGGTCGGCAACCTCTCAGCCTGTCGCAGCGATGCAACAGGAAGGAGTAACTTTGGAGAGGTTGGCTTCGCAGATGCGGGAGTTACAGGCACGGATGCAGGAGAGAAGGCCCATGGTATCTCGTGGGCATCCTTTCACAGAAGAAGTACTGAGAGGTGACCTGCCACATAATTTCAGAGAATTAAGCTTATCCTATGACGGATCTGCAGACCCCGCAAGGCACTTGAGGTCGTTCAACAACATAGCGGTGTTGCATAGGTATAGCGATGCAGTGAGCTGTAGGGCTTTCTTGACGACCTTAAAAGGGTCGGCGCAGGATTGGTTTCATCAATTGCCGCCTGGATCCATCGACAACTTTGAAAAATTCAGCTCTCTCTTTTTGAACCAGTTCGCTAGTGCCATAAAGCATGAGAAAACGTATTTGTCGTTGATTAGCATGCAGCAAAATGAGGGTGAATCTTTGAGACAGTATGTGGTGCGTTATACTAAGGAATGTGTGGAAGTCCCTACTGCAACAGAGGAAATCAAAGCTGGAGGGCTCACTAGAGGTCTACGGCTAGGGAAGTGTCGAGATTTGTTGGCTAAACGTCCGGCGAGGTCGTTTGATGAGCTTTTGGAGAGATGCAGCAAGTATGTTAATATGGAGGAGGCGGAAGCAGACTTTCTACAGAATGATAAGATAAAAGTGAAGCCGGTGGATGAGAGGACCCGTCAAAATGAACGACGAGCTCCCCAGAAGGAGGTCAGGGCAGAAGATCGATTTAAGGGGCCCAGGTATGAACACTACAAACCATTGAGGGCTCCCCAGAAGGAAATTCTTGAAGTGATGGAGCAACGAGGAGAGACTAAGTTGTTAGCAGCACCCAAGCCCTTGCCTCCACCGCGAAAATTCTCAGCAGGAAAGGATAGGTATTGCCGATACCACCGCGATTACGGTCATTCTACCAATTTCTATCGTGAGCTGAAAAACAAGATTGAGCGGCTTATCAGAGCCGGGCACCTGAAGGAGTTCGTAATAAAAGACAAGGAACGTCGTGACGAGCGCCCAGAGGGGCGTGAGCTAGGTGACAAACGCCGGAGAATGGAAGAACAACCAGATAGACCAGTGAAGAAAGGGGTGATTCATATGATAGCAGGAGGTCCTACGGATGGTGACTCACACAGGGAGAGGAAGAGAACATATCGAGGAAAGAGCATGATGGACGAGGTGGCTGAGGTCAAGGTACAAGCAAGTTCGGCTACCTTGAACTTCAGCGCGAATGATGTACAGGGGGTCGTGGTTCCTCATAATGATGCCTTGGTTATTAGCGCTGAGGTGGCCAGTTACGATGTGCAGAGGGTTCTGATAGATACTGGGAGTTCGGCGGATATCATTTTCTGGAAATGCTTGCAGCAGATGGAGTTGGAGGTAAAAATGGAACCGGTGCACACTGCCCTATACGGTTTTAATGGCAGTGAGGTTCGACCCATGGGGGAAGTAAACCTAACAGTAGCCCCAGGACGAGCTCC